GTGCTCAGACAAGACATCTCCTACCCCAACAAAGAGCTCGTAGCCGCCGTGGCCAGAGCTGTAAACTTCGGCAGCCATCGACTCAAACGATCCGAAGGGTGCCTTACTTTACTTCTGCCATTGGCCCTCGCCCCAAGACCGCCGAAACCGAAACCCTGCACTCCCCAAACTTGACCCCAGACCCCTAAACTCTATTAACCCTATAAGCCCTATAAACCCCTATAAACCCCTATCAATCCTATAAACCCTAAGCCTATAAACGCTAAACCCTATAAAGCCCACCCTCCACTTGCCAGGCGTCTGAGGCCGATGATGCCGGTCGTCTGCTTCGCCTGGGGAACTCGCGCCCGAGACGCGCTGTGAGGGGCCCGGACTTAGTCCAAGGGTTTAGGGTTTAGGGTTTAGGGTTTAGGGTTTAGGGTTTTGGGTTTAGGGTTTAGGGTTTGCATTCGTGTCAGGTTTAGGGTTTCGGGGTTTTAGTGTTTAGGGTTCAGGATTTAGGGTTGTTGTTGTTGTTGATTTGAGAGGTGCGGGATTTCATGCAGATGGCAGGGGCGGCGGAAGGGGCTGACTGAACCGTAGCAGCCAGAATAAGCTTTGGCATTTTTTGGATTATTTTGGGTTTCAGACGTCAGACCCTAAACCTAGCCAAGCCCTTTGCAGATGTTGCAGATGTGCAGAAACCGCCCTAAGCCCTTCTAAACCCTAGCCCCTATAAAGCCTAAACCCTAAACCTCCACAGAAACGGGCTAAAGCTCTGCGTCTCCACATCTTTGCAGACAGGGTGCACAGCCCCAACACTTCCTGAACCCTGAGTTCTTCTCTAGGGCTTAGGGGTTCTGACCCTAAACCCGAAACCCCTAAACCCCTAAACCCCTAAACCCCTAAACCCTAGGCCCCTAAACCCATAAACCCTAAACGGCCCTAAACCTTAAGCCCCTACACCCCTAAACGGCCCTACACCCTAAACCCCTAAACCTTTAAAAACGCCTAAACGGCCCCTAAACCCCTAAACGGCCCCTAAACGGCCTTACACCCTAAACCCCTAAGCCTCTAACCCTAAACCCTTAACCCTAAACCTCTAAACCCGTAAACCCTAAGGGCCATACAATCATCGCTCCGAGGCTCGCGCTGCCATACTTGCTGGAACCCATGGAGCTGCTCGAGCAGCAGATGGTTGAAACTGTGGGGTTTGGGAATTTTCTGGGGTTTAGGGTTTAGGGTTTATAGGGTTTGGGGTTTAGGGTTTGGGGTTTGGGTTTAGGGTTTAGGGTCTAGGGTTTGGGGTTTGGGGTTTAGGGTTTGGGGTTTATAGCGTTTAGGGTTTAGGGTTCAGGCGGGTTTAGGCGTTTTTGGTTCAGGGTTTGGGCCTTTTAGGGATTAAGGTTTCAGGCGCGGCCAGTGGTCAGGGTGCTGAGACGCGCTGTTTCTAGCTTGTTGAGAGCTGACTCGCTCTCTCATGGTAGTTTTCGCAATCCCTACCCTCCAACCTCAGGCATGCAGACACTGGGTCGGACTTTTCGTCTCGTCAGAAATGGGTGTCCGAAATTCGGGGTACCTCATTGGGGTCCTAAAACGGGAATCCTACTCTTTGGGTGTTTAAATTAGGGGTCCCCTATTTTCGTAGGCCCCTTGCTTGTATTCAAGTTATCCCGGGGGGGCTGCTTTGCAATTGTGTTTTTGCTATGGCTCTGAGGTAGAACAGTCGGCACGTCAAACCCTAAGCCCCAAACCCTAAGCACTAAACCCTAAAACCCTAAACCTTTCCCTAAACCCTAAACCCCAAAAACCTTCAAGAAGCCCTCGAAGCCAAAGGTTCTCTACTGGCCCTCCCAGGCGTGAAGCGCTCGCCAGGGGAGATATGGAGTTTGCCATTCGGGGAGTCTTAGGCCTCAGGGTTCAGGGTCAGTTGGTGTGTTGGTGTGTTGGTGTGTTGGTGTGTGTTGGTGTGTGTTGGTGTGTGTTGGTGTGTGTTGGTGTGTGTTGGTGTGTGTTGGTGTGTGTTGGTGTGTGTTGGTGTGTGTTGGTGTGTGTTGGTGTGTGTTGGTGTGTGTTGGTGTGTGTTTTGGTGTGTGTTTTGGTGTGTGTGTGTGTGTTGGTGTGTGTGTTGGTGTGTGTGTGTTTGTGTGTGTTGGTGTGTGTTGGTGTGTGTTGGTGTGTGTTGGTGTGTGTTGGTGTGTGTTGGTGTGTGTTGGTGTGTGTTGGTGTGTGTTGGTGTGTGTTGGTGTGTGTTGGTGTGTGTTGGTGTGTGTTGGTGTGTGTTGGTGTGTGTTGGTGTGTGTCGGTGTGTGTTGGTGTGTGTTGGTGTGTGTTGGTGTGTGTTGGTGTGTGTTGGTGTGTGTTGGTGTGTGTTGGTGTGTGTTGGTGTGTGTTGGTGTGTGTTGGTGTGTGTTGGTGTGTGTTGGTGTGTGTTGGTGTGTGTTGGTGTGTGTTGGTGTGTGTTTTGGTGTGTGTTTTGGTGTGTGTGTGTGTGTTGGTGTGTGTGTTGGTGTGTGTGTGTGTGTGTGTGTGTGTTGGTGTGTGTTGGTGTGTGTTGGTGTGTGTGTGTGTTGGTGTGTGTGTGTGTATGTGTTGGTGTGTGTTGGTGTGTGTGTTGGTGTGTGTTGGTGTGTGTTGGTGTGTGTTTGTGTGTGTGTTTGTGTGTGTGTTGTGTCTGTTGGTGTGAGTGAGTGAGTGAGTGAGTGAGTGATAGAGTGAGAGCGTAAGCGTGAGCGTGAGTGTGAGTCTGAGTGTGTGTGTGTGTGTGTCTGTGTGTGTGTGTGTGTGTCTGTGTGTGGGTGTGGGTGTGGGTGTGGGTGTGGGTGTGGGTGTGTGTGTGTGTGCGTGTAAGTAAGTAAGTAAGTAAGTAAGTGAGTGAGTGAGTGAGTGAGTGAGTGAGTGAGTGAGTGTTTGTGTGTGTGTTGGTGTGTAGTGTGTTGCTGTGTGGTGTGTAGTGTGTAGTGTGTAGTGTGTAGTGTGTAGTTTGTAGTGTGTGTGTGTGTAGTTTGTAGTGTGTGTGTGTGTGTGTGCGTGTCTGTGTGTGGGTGTGGGTGTGGGTGTGGGTGTGTGTGTGTGTGTGTGTGTGTGTGGGTGTGGGTGTGGGTGTGGGTGTGGGTGTGGGTGTGGGTGTGGGTGTGGGTGTGGGTGTGGGTGTGGGTGTGGGTGTGGGTGTGGGTGTGGGTGTGGGTGTGTGGGTGTGGGTGTGGGTGTGGGTGTGTGTGTGTGTGCGTGTAAGTGACTGAGTGAGTGAGTGAGTGAGTCAGTGTTGTTGTGCGTGTGTTGGTGCGTACTGTGTTGGTGTGTTGTGTAGTGTGTAGTGTCTAGTTTGTAGTGGGTGTGTGGGTGTGTGTGGGTGTGTGTGGGTGTGTGTCGGTGTGTGTGGGTGTGTGTGGGTGTGTGTGGGTGTGTGTGGGTGTGTGTGGGTGTGTGTGGGTGTGTGTGGGTGTGTGTGGGTGTGTGTGGGTGTGTGTGGGTGTGTGTGTGTGTGTGTGGGTGTGTGTGGGTGTGTGTGGGTGTGTGTGTGTGTGTGTGGGTGTGTGTGGGTGTGTGTGGGTGTGTGTGTGTGGGTGTGTGTGGGTGTGTGTGGGTGTGTGTGTGTGTGTGGGTGTGTGTGGGTGTGTGTGGGTGTGTGTGGGTGTGTGTGGGTGTGTGTGTGTGTGTGTGTGTGTGTGTGTGTGTGTGTGTGTGTGTGTGTGTGTGTGTGTGTGTGTGTGTGTGTGTGTGTGTGTGTGTGTGTGTGTGTGTGTGGGTGTGTGTGTGTGTGTGGGTGTGTGTGGGTGTGTGGGTGTGTGTGAAGTGCTGGGTGGTAGGAAGGGGGGGGGTGTGAGTTGTGGGGCTGTGTGGTGTGGGGGTGTGTGGGTGTGTGGGTGTGTGGGAGTGTGGGTGTGGGGGTGTGTGGGTGTGGGGTGTGTGGGTGTGGGGGTGTTGTAGTGGGGTGGGGGTGTTGGGTTCGTATGTGGGATGATGGGGGTGTGGGGGGTGGGGCAGGGTGGGCGTGGGGCAGTGTGGTCGTGTGGGCGTGTGGCGTGGGGGCGTGTGGATGTGGGGTGTGTGGTGTGTGGGGTGTGGGTGTTTGTGGGAGTGTGGGTGTGTGGGTTGGGAGGAGGGGGGGGGGTGTGGGAGGGGGGGAGGGGGGGGAGGGGGGGGGAGGGGGGGGAGGGGAGGAGGAGGGGGGGAGGGGGGAGGGAACGGGGGGGGGGGGGGGGGGGGGGGGTGGAGGCGGGGGGGGGGGGGGGGGGGGGGGAGGGGAGCATAACAGGAGGACGGATGAGCATAAAAAAAGACAGGTCGGCATAAAGAAGAAAACGGTGAGAATAACGAGAGAAGTGGTAGCATAACCAAAGGACCTTGGAGCATAATAAAAGGAACGGTGCAGCATAAGGGATCGGGACGGCTTCCGGGACACAGAGAGAATAAGAAAAAAAACGCATAGCATAAGAAAAAAAACCCAGCCCATTCTCATTCCTGGATCCTGAAAAACATGCGGTCCAGTCGGCCGTGGCGTCTCGTCACTGATCTGCCGCGAGAGACGAGAGGCTGCCAGAGGCTCCGAATGCCACTCCTTTGGACAGCTGCGGGGGGGGAATTGGGACAAACTGCTCATCCTGCTCATGCTGGCCACCTGAACTCTACCCAACGGGGAGCCCCCACACCCCCCCCCCCATTGCATTCACAAGATGGGACCGCTGTGCAAAGCAACGTCACGCACCGTAAGCGCCAACGGTCCAGAGGAAGAGAGTGAGCTAGCTGGGTGGACTGGGTGGACATGGCTCAGAGAGACTGCTCGAGCTTAATCGGAAAGTCTCGCAACATGTGCCGCGAAGGAGGTTGGCCACCCCCCTAAGCACGGGGGGGGGGGGGGTCCTGGCAGACGTTCAGGGCTTGGGGTGTTTAGAGTTTCGGGCTTAGAGCGTTCGGGCACTCCTTCAGCCCGGGTGTTGCGTTTAGACAGTTCGGAGTCCAAAGCTTCGGGTTCAAGGTTTCCCTACATGTTCTACATGAGTCTACACGATGAAAAACCCTTATCCGCCCTTCTTTCGCCCAGGCACCGTGTAGAGAATCAGGCCATTGCCAATGACAAAAAGGTGCAGCACCGCCAGCTTTGCCGGGAAGTGACCCCAAATGGCCGCGGCCAGCGAATGCCCAGCACAGAGGATGTACCTTGAAGGATGCGGATTCTGCAGAGGCTTTCGCCGGGCATATGGCACATTATGGCACCAAGGAATCTCCCTCAGGCAAGTCACTGAGCAATCTGAAGTCTGAAGACCCAGCTGGCGCGCGAAACCTTGCCGTCCCGGCTTCTGCGACTCATGGGACTTGATGGGACTTGCGGAGAATTGGAGTGGGAGCTGAATGGAAGCTGAGTGGGAGCTGAGTGGGAGTAGGCATAGTTGAAAGCGAAGCAGGGACCAGAAAATTCGGGCAGCTGAGGAGGCGAGTTGTATACTTGATGGAATGTGGGCGAACAGCAGAAAGCCATGGGAAAGTGGACATGCGAGCACACGCACACGCGGCCAGAGCTCCCTCGAATCAGAGCGTGAAGAGCTGGAAGTACAACCTTCAGCGGCGAACCAACCATCATGGCCCTGCGAATACGTCATACCACCTACCACCTTCGGCTTTGTGCAGCTTTGCGGCTGAAGCTGGAATACAAGCCATAGACGACCTCTCAAATCGGACTATGCTGGAAGCTGCTGGAATCGGCAGGCAAGCACAGCGAGGCCAAACGCATCCCGGTGGCGGTCTGGCAGCCCGAGCTCACCAGCGCCGGGACAAAGGCTTCCGCCCCGCAGCCGCAGCGGCATGCGATGAACCAGCCCCACCTCAAAGTGCTTTGAAAGGCTTTGTGTGGAATGCTCGGAGCACTCAAAGACACTCAAACGATCTCAAATTTCCTCTCTCAAATTGTCAAACGATCTCACATTTCCGCCATCTCTCCGTTGCCCTCTCTAGGTCTCTAGGTCCTGCTTGGCCAAGTGTCAAATTCAGAACCTCGTCGGGACACAGCGAGGGCACAAACCAGAGTGCACGCAGCCACGTTCGGTACTAGCACTTGTACTATCCTTCTCTATAGGGTGGTCATGGCAGTTCCAAGCTTGTTTCCATCAACCGAGGAAAGTGTAGTAGCCTTCAAGCAGCATGCCGAAACTCAACACTTCCAGCGTCCCACATCACTGACACGGAAGGCCAAACGTATGAGGAGCATCAGCTGAGGCACACGGAGGTAGACATGCAGGAAGGAAACGCCCTGGAACTTTTTCTGCAGCACCTTTTCCAGTGTAACCACCATTCAATCATCTGAGATCAATCTGAATTCACAGCTGTGGCGGCAAAACCCCCCTCAACCCTCGGCGCCATGAATCCGGTTTCCACCAGTTGGAGCTGACGGCCTCGGACGATACAATGAAACACGATGAAACACAGCGTGACACTTGGCATGAAGAATATTGAACAGTCGGGTGTCAGTGGTATTGCAGCCACATTAGCCAACCCAGTCGATGGCTTGTTGCCTGAGACGCACAGAAAGGAAACCTGCACGCTACGGGTGAGTGCAACACCAGGTGCAACACCATGTAGTACACACACACATGACGCTAAGAAGTCTCAGTGGCCGTCGCATCTGGAAAGTTCCCCCAAATCTGAAAGCCCTGTGTCTGACCCTCCAGGACCAACATGACGAAACCTGAGTGGCCCATCCTCCCCAGCTCTTGCATCAGAGATCAGACGTCCCCCAATGCATCCCCCAACGCGTGTCAGCGGCAATAGAGGTTGTAGCAGCACTGTGTCGCGTTGTGCACAGCCATGCATTCAAAGATGAATGTTTGCACCTTCATCGATCTAACATGCAGCTGGCACCATGGACACATGGACACACACCTGGCACTCAGGGATTAGCGACCCCTCGTTCTGAGTCTCCGGCTGGCAAGCTGCGCCTGAGCGGCTATGCGACTTCACCCGATCGGGCAGAACAGGCTGGCTGAGTGCTCAGTGAATCTAATCCGTGCTAAATGCTTCCAGCAGCTGCGCCATTCGTCCAAGCCCGACAAAGGTCAGGGAAACCTCGGGCGAATCACGACGCACAAGCGCAAGCTCCATCATCACCCGCAGACTGAGGGTTGGAAGCGGCAACAGCTTCCGCACTAGTATTTTCGAAAACAAGTCATGGCACTTTGTCTGCTCGCCCCAACTCACGGCACCTTATCGACGAAACCTACACAGTTCACACACACGAAGATCAGCGTTGGTCGGCAGTGCAGGGACCTACTAAAACTCAACATGTACGATGCCAAGAGAGGCTTTAGTGAGGTGCACCGTTGAGCTTTCACAAAGAAAACCTACAAGAGGCTTGTAAGGACAAGCGAAACTCTCTTCAAGCTGCCATCTTTTCATCCTACTGGTTTTGCATGTCCTTCTCCTTCTGTTTCTTGTCCGTCCCTCCTGTTCCTTCGCCACCTTTTCCTTTCTGCTTCTGGCTGGTCCTCTTCTTGTCGTTGTTCTTCTTAAGCCTTGGACTGCAGCCCGGTGCCATGACCTAGGGCTTGCAAAGACACACAAAACTTTCGAGTCACAAGGCTGCCAAAGGGTGGGTTCCAGGGGCCTTTGGGCTGCAAGGCCGATGAACAGACCATTAGGCCACAGGAAATTAACCTGCGCAAGGCGGCTTGTGAGATATGAGACCAAGCTGATGTATGTCTCGGCTGGATGTGTCCGAGACTCTGGTCGCTGATTGCCCAAGGCACACCGTGCTTCGTTTTGATGAACAGCTGAGCTTCGAAGTCAACTGTGCGTCCGAAAAGTCTCGCCAAGCAACGTATGCCAGACTGAGCAGCAGAGCCAGAGAGCCGCTGACCTTCTGGGCTGGCGTGAGGTAACTCCAACGAAGCTACAAAAGAGATATACGCACGTGCATGTGTACATGATCCGAACTAAAAGAGTTTCCTTATTATGGTGGTAACTTGGTTCTCGTCGCCGCCTGCTTTACGGCTGCTTCTGCTTTTTGTGCACTGCTCGCGCCTCTGCGAAAGGCCCGCCAGCGCGGGGCTCCAGGGCGCCTGTGTCCACCTGAAATTTCTGTGTATATGTACATGTAGATATAGATTCAATACAGATACAGATATGGATACAGATGTATTTGTAAACGTAGAACTACATATCATCGACCATTCCTCTTTAATTTTCAGGTGAACGCACTCATTCAGTAGCGCATCCAGCCATCAAGGTACTTTACTTGTGTTTGACACTGCCCCTACTTCATATTTCATGTGAAGACCCTTGTATAGCAAACGAAAATACTTCATGTAGTGTAGTAAATATAACAGATATGAATATCATGAAAATAACAAAAAAAGCAGTACATCTCATTTTCGCCTTCATCTGGTTGAAGTGGAAGTGGAGGCATTATTTCGATTGTACGGAGTGCAAAATTTCACGCTTAAAGCAAGCTAAACAAACAAGCCCGTTGGCTGCAACCCCCTCCCAACCGGGCTGGGGTATTGGGCAACCTGTTTGAGGGCCCGGAGAAATACTGTCTCCTGACACGAGGCGCTGCCTTGGCACTTCAACAACCAACACGTGCCCCCCCCCTTCACATGCCCTCGCGCTCTTGATACAACCGGTTTCTCCAACAGGGTGGGGGGGGGGGGGTGGGCAAAGAATCCTTGGACCTCATTCGCCTCGGCCCCTGGCCGAGAGGGGCGTCTGGAGCAACCAAACACGACCCTTCGCCACATTTCTGGCCCACCTTCCCCCACCCTCCCTTATCTGTGGGACCTGCCCGAACCGCTTGGAGGAGACGCAAGTCGTATTGAAACGTAAATGTACATATAAATGAATATATATATATATATATATATATACATATTCTGTTATACAAAAATGTAAGGACTAAACCCTACTCATGTGAGGATACGTTGAAAGACCCGCAAAAGGCCTGCAGCTGCCACCGAGTGCGCCCAAACAGCGCTAAGCCAGGAACCTGTCGTAATTGGACTTCGTGGTGTCAATGTGGCGAAACTCGGATTTGGGGCTCGGGCCTTGTTTAGGATGCAGGGTTAAGGGCGCAACTTGTAGCGCCATGTGGTGCGACCAAAGTCTGCAGGTGGCTTGAGTTCTACAAGCCATCACATCAACAGGAGAAGCGCAGCCCTTCCCAGCGGCGCCGCGTAGTAGGTGTAGAGCACAGCGCCCGCCAGCGTGCAGATCACCGGAATCGGGCGAAGCTTCCGCCAAGGGGGTGCCGAATTGAGCACGTCCACCTCCATGCAGTTCCCAGCAGATCTTTTCGCTGAATCCCTGCGTCTTAGAGCATGCAGCAGCCAAATAAAGCAGAGCTGGTCCCCATGGCCCGGCCTGCGTGAGCTTTCCCCGGCGCACGTCAGCGAAGTCAGGCGCTGTCTCCCCCGCCATGGAGCCATCAGGAAGTTATTGGAAAGTGAACTAACAGTAGCTAACACAACTACACGAATCAGAAGCATGGACGGCATGGATGGAAAGAGCCCCGCTGTGGTTTGCAGATGTTTGCAGATTCTTGCAGGCGGGCGCTCGCCTGTGCCGTCATGTTGACGGTTGGCCACGGATCATGAGGGTCAACGAAGTAGGGGCGGCTCGCCGGGGTTTCTTGTCTTCGTTCTCTCATGTGGCACCATGTGGCCATGCTGCTGGGTTTGAAATGTTGAGCAAAGAGCCATAAAGCTCCAAGTCCCCAATCAATGCACAAACGCCGCCGGATGTCTCCATTCTCCAGCATGACCTCTCAAGGGCGCACCTGGAAGTGCCCCACGTAGCGCTGGGCCACCCGCCGTGTCTGGAGGTCCCAGAGGCGGACACTGCGGCAAGATGCGACAAAAACTTCCTCGAAACTCCGTCAGAACACCCTTTGTCCCTCTCGCCATGCACAGATCAGCCAGTGATCAGTGACAACATCGAGACTGCTTCAAACACATGCAGTTGCCTGGGACCCTGCTGTAGGGCTGAGACCTTTGCACGAGAATGCGGGACTTATCTGAACTTGGGCCAGAAACCATAGGTACAGTTCTCAGCAATTCTCAGTACACCTCTGGAGCACTGCGCCCCAGCGCCCGGCATGCTGCGCCACGTTGACCAGAAACTCATCCCGGAGGCGTGACGCACTGATCTGGGAGATGTTGGGGGCTGGGCTTAAGATGAGCTGGCGAGGCACTGACGTTCCAAGCTCAGATACCATCAGCCCCGAGCGGAGGTCACGGCATCGCTCTCTGGAAGCGGGGCCAACTCCTTGCGCGAAGCGATGTCAAAGACCTCCCAGGAAAGGCAAAAAGATGCGAAAAGGGGGGGGGGGGGGCCGGATGCTTTGAGGGGGGAGCCCCGACATGTGCCGAAGTCTGCTGCCTTGATGCCTTTGTCAGAGTCGACGACAAGCACTCGCGATCCATCCCTGGTGGTAGCCTCGTGTGTCGCGCGCTGAACGGCCTGAAAGGCTCTGTTACACCTGTCAGCTGAGCCCGGCGCCAGATCCTGCACTCTGCACTGAAGCTCCCAACGGTGCTGCCTCAAAAGCCCCCCAAAACTCACGCAATCACGAGAAACTTCAACTGGCGCGAAAGCGCACAGGCGGGGGAGGCTGTTAGGATGGCCGAGGATGATGCAAGTTGCCATCGGTCTTCCAGAGCAGGAGGCACCTTCGGCTCAACAGATGTGATCTCAGTGAGTTTTTTGGCATCCTTTTGAACCCATTGAACCCTCAACACAGAGAGTTGGCTTTTTGTCAACTCCGCAAGGCCTGTCAAAGCCGGCTGAGAGGAAGTGCTCGCCATCGGGGAGCCAAGCCACCTCGACTGGACAGTCTCTGGGCGGGCTTCTGAACAGCTTCCAGGCACCCCGCTGCAGACACAGAGTCCGTGTGCCGTTCGAAGATCTCCGGCTCGTCTGCCCCTCAGGCCGAGCAATGTGGAGCAATCGCGCGGCCCGAAAGCCCTAGCACACATGTTTCCACAATCCGCCGAGGCCTCGGGCCGAAGGTGTATAGGTTGTGAGAACAGGCACCATGCTTACGCAGATGCGCTGGGCCGGGCCGAGGCGGGTCGCGCAGCATTAAATTGTTGCTATCTAATCTAATTTTGCACTCGCTTTATCCCGCTATCATCACAAGTTTCCCGGCACCTTTCTGCGAACTCAGTTTGTTAGGTCACTCGCTATAATCAAAAGTGTTGTTTTTTCCGAAAGGTTGTTTATTTTAAGGGTGTGTGTGTGTGTGTGTGATGTGGTGTGTGTTTAGGGTTAAGGATGGTTCAGGTCTTGGGGCCAGGTCTTTGCTGCTCCCCAAAATCTCAAGCACAGAGCTTTCTCTCAGGCTCAGCTGAGGGTTTCAGGCTTCAAGGGCCTTGGGCTCCGGGAATCTTATTTAGCCAGAGCCCGGAGAATGCAGGAAGCTAAGCCCGGCCACTTCCATCTCGACCATCCTAGAATTTTCTTGTGAAAAGAGGCCCCAAACAAATTTGGTGAGAGGCAGCCTACGGGCCAGCCCAATTCGCTGTAGTAGGTTTGTTTGGGTTACCCGCTGTAGTATCGAGGCGTGACGCCGGGGGGGGCCGTAAGCTCCCCAAACGTCGGCGCCTGGCTTCCGATCGACGCGGGCTGAGGCTTTAGGATGGTTCTCCCTCCCCCCCCCCTCCTCCCAAATTTTGTGTGTGGCTCCCGATTTGTGGGGGGGGGGGGGGAGGGGGTGCTGAACCGAGTGTAACATTGATTGCATGATCATCAACACAATTATTTACACAGCCAACAAACGGCTGCCAAATCCAGTCCTTCAAGACTCCTGAGAAGCCAAAAATCGGCCGTGAGCTCAACGTTAGATCAACGTTAGCTAAACGCTAGAACTGCTCAAGATGCTCTGAGCAAGTCTTAGCCATTGCGACGGCCTGGGAGAGTCCAGAGTCTGACGGTGCCTGGCCGCGGAACAGTGTCTCGCGTTCTTGAAGCTCTCGAATCACTCTCGAATCCCTTTCAACCGGTCACACTTCCGACACTTCCTCTGAGTTTCCTTCCATTTTGCTCCCGAAAACCCTGAAACCCTAAAACCATAAAACCCCAAAACCCTAAAACCCTGAACCCTTCTTCTTCTCCCTCTCCGACCGTCGCTGGAGGCGGAGAGGAGCCGCTGGTTGTCGGGGCTCCAGGCGAGGGCAGCGCAGGGCCTTTGAGGCGCTGGGGAGGCACCGCAACGCTCTGCAAAGGTCGGGGGGGGGGGGTCCCTTTCAGGGGATTCTATTCCATTTCGGGTAAAAGAGGGGGTACCCCCTTTTTTTGCTTGGGGGGGGGGGGTCGGGCACTCTCGCCGCTTGCACTTCGAGACAATGAAGCAGGTTTCCGGGGAGTCGGAAGCTACGCTGGGTCGACAGCGCGCTGTGGCCGATCAGCACCTGCGTCACCTTACAGGCGAAGGGAGAGCATCACTTGCCCGGAGGTGCCGAGCCATGCCGAGCCTCATTCCTCAATGGCCTACTCGTCCCCCTGAGCCCCCCTTTTTTCCACGTCGACTGTGAGAGACGAGCTTCAAGTCGAGCAAACAGGCAGCAACAGTAGCAGCTGAATCCGCAGCTCGTGTTCATCTCTTGCATACAGTGGGAAATGTCACGGCCCCTTGCTTCATGCTGGCGAAGGCAATCTAAGGGGCATCCAGACTTCCATATGCGGTTTCGAATCTGCTCTCAAGTTTCGGCACGGACACACGTCATCGTATCGGCACTGCACAGTGACTCGAGCCGTGCCCCCTCGTTTCCCCTCATCCCTATCAAGTTCGCTCAAAGGAGGTCCACTGTTGTTTGAGCTCCTCGAACAATCTTACGAGAATCAGCCGGTTAAGGCTTCGGCGATTCGCAAAGGCTCATGGGTTTGGCGGCGTCTTCGGATTGTCCATTTGTCATTGCCCCTGGTGTCAGTCCCTCTACATAGAGCTGCTACTGCCTCTACCCTCTACATCAAATTAGAGCCGAGCTGTCTTTGTCGGCCTTGCATGGGAATGCCGTTGTGAAGAGCTGGCTTCAAACGGCCCAAAATCCAATTCAGCCCCTCGGTCAGCTGCGGATATGCCAAACCGTGCCGATGCTGAGCGATGGCTTGTCTGTGAGAAGCAGATACCCGAGCTGAGAATCGTCTTCCGCATGTGCAAGCTAGCATGCTCTTCACATGACTGTTGCGAAGGTCATGCCTCAAAAGTGCAAAAGTGCATTGATTCTCAGGTTCGGGTCCCTACGTTGTGGCCAAGGGCCAAACGGGTCATGAGGGTCATGGGCCCCACCCCTTGCAAATCGATATGCTCCTGCACCAAAGCTCTCCTGTAAAACGAGCTGAAGTCCCTTCGCTCGTTGAAACCAGCACACGCTGCTGGCGGCACATTAACCTCCGCAAGAAGACAGCAGAGGTTGAGAACCTCGAGAGTGGTCAGAAAGAGCACGCACCAGATAAGATAACAAGTCTCTGCTTGAAACTGCTGATGTTGGTTCCCGCTTCGATGCGTCTTGACTTTTGTGTCTCCCCCCTGTCACCTAAACCACAAGCCTGTCGGCTTCACGCCCATCGCAGCGGCCTCAGACCCCGCAGACCAGGTTGGCCGGCACCGCCTCCTCAGTGAGCTCTTGCGAAGCGGATCGAAGTGTAGGCGCCTTAAGGCTTTAGTTGCAAGTCTGCGAGATGCAAGGCTAACACCGACGCGGAAGAGCCACGTCCATCATCTTCGGATAGGGCAGGTTGAGCTCTTTCATGGTCTTGATGAACTCTTCCTGCGCGGCTGCCACGCATGTGCTGCTCCAAGTGTGCTCCTTTGGCTTCTTCTTGCCTTTTTGCCTTCCGTAACACCCGCAAGCTCACCAGCAATAAGTTCAATAAGCCGCATCGAATCCTTGTTCTGCGTCAAGCGGGGGTTGAATTTCTTCTCTTCTGCGACGGTGGACACATTTCCTCATGATCTGGAACTGTACCGAAAACACGTCAACTGGTGGCAGTGGCTTGAGATTAACTTGCATGGCTGACAGTGATGCCAGGGTGCTGCCCTTGTAGTCGTGACCTGATGGGAGAGCTTACCGTCTCTTCAAGTTCAATCAGCTACAACTAACAAGGAAACCTGCTGGTGCGGATCTTGAAGTCACAACGCGACAAGCTTGAAAATATTTACTAACAAATTGGCATTTACTGGCAACATTCTAGCAGGCCTGGGTAGATCTTGGTGTCCTCCGGTAGAGTGAAGATCTTCTGGTGGATCATGTCGTAGAGTCGGGCCGCGTCACCCTTTGAAGCATGAAGCATGTCACAGCATGTCTCTCAACTCAGTAGACTTAGCTTGCAGAAACCTGAAGCATTTGCGGAGATGCCATTTGAATCGGTCGTTGAGGAAGGCATGCGTCAAGCTCCACTACTTTGCAGCTAGCCATGAAGGTGCAGAGAACTCTTCTGGAAGACGGCGCTTGCTTGGAGGCTGCTGTGCAACTTTGAGAATGGGAAGCGTGCGCCAACATGCTGAGCAGCTGCACATGTCACACCGTGCTTCAGGTGACCTGCTGGAAATCCGTTCGGCCGCATCCTCGAATGAGCACAGTGTCGCCTGAGGCAGCGTGTGCACACTTGCACAAAGGTTCTGCAGGTGGTGGCATCATGTTGTGGAATGCCCATTCTAACTTCGGATGACACCTGTGAAGACCGCCTTTGGCGCATCTGGCCCGTTAAGAACGAAGCACATGCCTTACTCGTCAGGGCAAGCAGACTGACGGTACAAGTAGTTGAAGGGGTCCGAAAGTTTGGTCTCAGCTGATTCAGACATGGTGCAGCCATCGGTGTGTCCCGGAGTGGCAACCGCTTGGAGGGCCTAGGACAAGGGGCACGCAGCGTCTGGATCTTGACACGCCATACTTGTCACAGATAAGCGGCATATTGGCCAAACTCGATCTTGTCACCATCCTCTGCACAAACCCTGCTTCGCTGCAGCATCTTGCGCTTGTGCAGCTCTGACGTGATCTGCCCTCTGACGAGTCCTTCAGTTTGATGTCGGCAGCAGCTCCAGAGGCTTCCGAGATCATGGTTTTCACCTGGGAGCATACCCCAGCTGCTCATGCACAGAAGGCCGAGACCTGATATCTCACAGAAACCACCCCGGCATACCTCCGGGTGCAGCTTCTTGATTGCGCCGCCGGAGGTGATGTGGTCTGCACAGGAGGCGGCCAAAGCAGGATTCTGGGGCTGAATTTCAGGTGCAGTTTCGGTGCCTGCGTGGCAGTGCGTGTTGACAACATACTTCACCTTTCAAGCAGAGACTGGCTTGACATGCTTGACTCAATCTCCACCACATCGACACGAGAAGTCCGAGGCCTTGAAGCCAAGCTCCTCTGCCAGGCCAAGATCCCGACCCTCCATGCCCAAGACCTGAAGCGAGCCGGGAACCAGAAGGCGGGCCCGGCACTATGAGGCACTGCAGCACAAGCGCTTGTAAGGACGATTATGGAGTGCAAGGAGAGGTATCGGTAGTGGATAACAAACAATCGATGACCTGCTGCCAACTTTTGCTCTGGCCAAGGGTCTGGGTCGATCAGCACCGCCTCTTGGCTCTGCGAGCAGCCGAGGAGGTAAGTGAAGGTCGAGCTGCCCTCCGACACTCCGACCACATAAGATCACTAAAGTCACTAAAGCAGAGAGATGCAAAGTCCTCAAGAGTCATCTGGTCCACTGACCAGGCCTGTGGATCGAAAAGCTGCTCGATGACCGCTGCTTGTCTGGTTGCAGTAGAGGACTGGGCCTGGCGTACCATGGGGAGCAAAGCTGCAGCTTTGTGCGTCGTGCGCTCTGTGCTCTGTGCGTGCAAAAGCACAGAGCCTCCTCATTGACGCCGGGGAGCTGGTCCAGCACCCAATCTTTGATCGGGCCGCACCTCCGAACATGGCACCAATTTCCAAGATTTTCCAGGATGTTCCAAACGTGCCGCTTTAGGTGCTTGCATCAGGCAACGCTTCCAAGCTTGAATCCAGGGTGCTCCGAGCACTTGGTGAAAAACTTGAGGTCCAAGTCCTCCGCCAGGAGGCTCGCGGAGGCCCTGCACTTCCGTCAGCTTGAGTGCACCAGCACATGAGTGTGACAGGACATGGGTATGCAGACAAAGACAAGTACCACGAACATTTTCTTGACAACACATCACGACTACGACCGTGATGGTTACTGCCCTGCTGGGTCAAGCGATCAAGCGATCATGCACTGTCAGCTCCCGCCTGTTGTGACCCAAGGCTTTGGCCTGGACGGCGGACGGTGCAAAACTGTGCCACGGGATTGGATTTCCTGCTTCCGTTCTTTCCGACTTGCGATTTTTGGAGCCCATACCCTTCAAGGTGCCGTGGACCGGAGTGACCGGAGTGACGGGAGTGGCGGGAGTGACCGGCGCCTGTGCTAGCAGCAGCGCAGCGCCTGCGCGGTTGCCCGACGTGCACTGGATCATCCTGACTGGGCGTACCACCGTGCTAGTACCAGGCCGTACAAGGCTGCAAACCGCCCCTTCGTTGCTGAATGCGACATTATGCTACATGATGGTACATAATCTACATATCCATCGTCTGAACATCCCTGACACATCCCCGAAACCCACAGCACCAGCCAGAAGAACCCTTGGATCAAGCTCCAAAGGTTCAAGACCAGCCAAGATGCAAAGGCCTAGGGAGGCGATCCATGGCAGAGAGAACCTAAGATGTCCATCCAGATTTCGAGAGAAGTTTAGAGAGATGCCCTTCGGTAAGAAACCGACATGGTTCAAGTCCACGGCACTGCGCTCGCATGCTCCTCGGTAGCCTTCTGGCTGCCAGCGGGGTTTGGGATGGGCGCCACCTCCACCTGCGACCAAAGCAGTTCCGCTTGAATGAACTTAGCGGCAGATATCGCTTACATTCTGTGACGAACCCAAAGTGCCCAGAGCCCGTCCTTGCAGCCCGCAGCTTCGAGCTCCTTTTTGTGGAAGTGTTTGTTGTCCTTTGCTCCAAGTGTCGCTGTACTCGACACTGGGCACAATGTGGCCATCCACATGCCTCCGAGATGCTTCTGGGTTCAGGTAGAGCCAACCTTTGTAGCGTGGTGCCAGCTGCTCAAGGATCGCCACATCCAGGTTTCCTGCGCAGAAGCCACTTGTAACATGGGCGTAGCGAAGCTCCACGTAGCAGGCCTGAAAGGCTGACGTCCCCCGGCAAGTTCGGCGTGCTCACGCCGAAGAGCTCGGGCTTCAGGCCTTGGGGGAGTTATGCAAGTTGATGCAAAATTGCTTCCAGTTCTGCTCTGACTCATCTTGGGAAATAGGGGTCAGGTGCGCGAATGGCGCACCGAGCCCTTGGCAGGACTCTGTCTGAACTGTTCGTTCCAGTCTTTATCACACTCTCGCCGAGCCACTGTCGGCAGCGGCAGCTGCACCGTGAGAGGCCTCACCTGGGGGCCCAGAAACTGCCACCGTCGAGGCTGGTGAACTGTCCATGCCATGAAATCACCACTCGTTGCTCTCTGCTAGCTGCTAGTCACTGCTAGCCTGCAAGACCCTCCCACTGGCACAATACAGTACCCCAGTACCCCAGCACTACCGGACCATTTCTTGCAGCCAACGGGGCCTGCGCCAGATACTGGGACTGAAGCCTCACAGAGGAGGAGATGCAGCTCTCACTGCTACACTTTCTGCCACATCTTCCCAGCCTTCAGAGCGGCAGTTTCCGAGGGCGGGCTCGCCTGCAACTTCAGATTAAAACGACCGTGGACATTTTTGAAACACAATCAAAAAAGCACCGAAGAATTCGGGTCACAGGTCCAGTCTCAACAGCGCCTTGGGAGAGCTGGATGCTGCATTCACCTCCGCATCACGTGTGTGCAACTTTGTGCATAAGCTTCAGCCTCATGCAAAAAGCACGGGGATCTCAATGGTTGGGCCTTTGGGTGGTCTACAGCCAGCGTATTCTCTCCATGGATTAGGGCAGAGGGCACGAGCGCCCAGAACAACCCGGGAACCGGCCTTGTGCTGAACTGAGGGCTCGAACCACATGTACTTGCCATACCTCACAAGCGAAACGCCTCCTATCGAAGCGGCCGTTAAAAAAAACAACTGTGTTCAACGACTCTCTTGGACTGCATCTCCATAACTCTCACCTTCTCTCCTTGCGTCTCTTGTTGATAAGCTCTTCAAAGTAGTTGTCTGCCGGTAGCCAGGGCGCCATCGTCCCAGTGGCATGGAATGCCAGTAGACATGTTCAAAGACGTAACGTTTCCTTGGACATGCGTGCATCGAGCACGACACCGCACCACGACAAATGTCATCACTCACTGTCTCTCTTAAGTCCAGCGGCAACCAGTAGAACAAGGTGTTGGGCTTCGTCTGGTCAAGTGGCTTGAAAGTCGGGGTTGCTTCCTTGGCACGAAACGGCTAACCGCGGAGTCTTGTAGTGACCTTTCTCACTATCACTCACCTCCTGATCCTAATCCACTTCCCAAAGCCAGGCGCTGTAGTCGGGACCCCTTTTGGGGCTTATGGAGCACAGGATCCGGGGCATGGCGTAGGAGTCTGGGTGCTCCCTTGCGAACCCTCCCTGAGCTTCCGAGTTCTTGCTTGGAGTGGCTGGGGGCCTCTGCGGCAAAGCTCTTGCTATCCAAAGCTCCCTAGTTTCTGGCTGACAGCGGTTGATAAACATGGCCTAACATGGCTGTGTTCTGCAACATTGCCTGCCCACCCAACCCGGGGAGACCGCATCTGCGGGTCAACGGTTTGGGTTCAAAGTCCAGGCGCCTTTGCATGGGCTCTGTACGCACGGGGTAGAAAAGATATGTTTAGGTGGGTGTTCTAGTATTTACATGAACCAGAACTGCCAGAACTAATCTAGTTGAGGTGGGGAGCTCCATGGGCTGCGGCGGCAGCTGTCAGGCTGTCGGGTGAGAGGGTTGAGTGGAGAGGCGGGATCGCACGCTTGCTTTTGGACTTCAACCGCCCAATGCAAAGACAAGCTTCCATCGTGTAGCCATTGAACTCGGCGAGCAACAGCTTGCTGTCCTCGTGCTGGCCAGAACAACGATCTACATTCCTCGTCCTGTTAGCTTTCCGAGCTTTCCCTTCTCCACATGGTTGACGGCTTCGGCTCTGCCTCCAAGGTGCTCCCAGTAGCACCGGGCAGGCTGTGTATCCATCATAGGCAGACGTGGGTTCCCCACCGGCCAGCAGGGCCTGCACCTAGCCCAGCAGCCATCAGGAATATCAGGAGCGACGCGGAGCTATGTGAAGCTGGCTGCATGTAGTCACAATGATGTGCTGCCACAGTCTTGAGCATGCTGCGAGCTCCGATGAACAAGTCCCAGTAGCATTGTAGGTGACCACAGGAGCCTGAGAGGAGATTGCAGAATAGGTCCTGAGGCACAGAGAAACGGGTGAGCGTGGGATCTCTGTGTACATTCGTCAACAAGCTCTGCGTGTAGCGCTGATGTGAAAGTCACGTCCTGCGCTTGCAGCCTCTCCAGACCCGCAGCATTGCACATGTGCACTACTGGGCCCTGAACTTAACATGCCAAGACAGACCTGATCTCAACCGGAGTGGAAGAATGGTTGCGACAGAGTTGCTTCGAAGTTGGGAGTGAGGAGCAGTCCCCAAGGGAGAAGATATTGGGGAACTTGGTGTGTTGGCACGTCTCCTGCCAGCAGTACACAAGGACGCTGCTATGTTCGAACTGGGAACCCTCTGTGGTCTTTAGAGCAGGTGGGCGTAGAGAACGGCACACATACGCGGTTATACAAAGCACACCAATGCACAGGTCGGGGTGTCAAGTCCCGACTCCTTGTCCACGTCGACGAACCCAGCCGCGTTTGCGAGGGGGCTGTTCCTGCAAAACAGACATGAGTCATGAGCTTTGCCCTGCACTGGGCGCATACTTTGCAAGCTCCGAGGCTCCTGATAAAGTCCGGAGCACTCATGGGAGGCGTCACATGGAGGAAGTCAAACTCTTTCGTGAGCAGCTCGCCACCTTCAGATCGTGCAGCTCTATGCTGTTCCCTGTCCCTACCAACTTGGGGTCGTGGGCGCCTGCATAGCATGGCATAGCCCTTGACCAAGGTTAAGGGCCAACCGCTTTTCATCCGCACTTCAGGATCAACCCGGCCTTCCCTCTCAAACATCGCAATCTTCCTGCACGAGAAGCCAAAGGAACGGATACAAACAGGTGCAGGGACGAGACAGCTTCACACAGTCTCGGAACCCTGGCCTCTCTCCGTCCACTTCGACGAGGTTCGTCTTCACGTGTGCCGTGATGTCTAGGTGCGGCACGGCACAGCAATGTGCAGCATGGTGGGCAGAAGTTTGTGAAGCTTACGGGGGCGGATGTGTGTGGACAATTCGGACATGGCCCAGCCCTTCAATGCCAGGGAGCTCTTGGACTTCATGATCTTTTCCAAGGCGACTCGATACTCGGGGCACGCAAAGATGCCTCAAAGGCACAGCGGCAAGAGGGCCATCTGGAGCACCGAGCGCTATCGTGCCTGGCGTTGCTGTGCAGAACTCGATGTCGATGCTGTTGCGAACTCCTGCCCGAAATCAATCGAAATCCCGAAGGACGAGAGGCATCTCTCGGTGCCAGAGTACACATTGACCACGTTGCAGAGCGTCCTCGCTCACGCCACGCGGCTTCGGCCAGGTAGCATATCCTGAAACAGATGGGGACGTAACGAGTACTAGGGCTCAACCGTGACAGCGTGAATCTCTGGGCTGCTGTCTCAGAGTCTTCTGCGGTGCTCCACCACAATTGACGGCGGTGGCCGGGTTGGTGAAGATCGCCTTGCCTGCAGCCACGCTTGCTGCAACATGTTAGAGCCTGTGCCTTCCGAATGTCAAACCTCGCTACACGGCCCCCACACGCCACATCCATATCATCCATTCCGACACGACTTAACAACATCAACTGCTGTAGGCTGCTGGTGCCTTTCTGCATGCCAGTGATGTTGGTCCAGACACTGGGCGAGTACTGAAAGGAGTAGATTGAAGCAACCTCGGGCTTGAACAATCCGGAAGCGATGGGCAGGCACAGCCAAGTTGAGGAAATGTTTCCCCAAGTGTCTAGGGCGATATCGGCAGACGAACGATACGACTTCAGATGCCTGGAGGCAACTGCCTGCACTGACGACGCCCATTGAGCTTGGGCACCAGCTGCTTTTCCAAAGCGCTCGAGACATGCAACCCTTGCCGAGCTGCAGCTCTGGAACGAGATACTTGACACTTCCGACACTGCCTGACTGTGATACCCCTGGAACTGCCAGACTTTGGTTGCGGTCTCCCGGCCGCTCTGGTACTGGTAGCTCTGGAACAAGAGATGTTTGACACTTGCGGCACTTAACACCTCTCGAACTGCCAGACTTTAACTGCGGGGCTTTTGCGGCGGCCGGGGCTTGCTCTAGCTGGAGCAGTGCGCCCTTTCAAGTACACTGCTTGCCACCGCTGCATTGTCGGAGCATGCCACACGGTCTGCTGTTTCACAAGCCCTGGTTTGTAGACAAAAGTCTGGTGCGCCGCGCCATTGCCAATGTTCACTGTCACATGCTGAGATCCTTCTCTTTGAAGCAAAGTCACGCCGTTCTTGCCCATGGTCTCTGGAAGTCCTGCAGCTTGGGCAAAGATTTCCCTCTCCTTGAGCCACCTGCTAAACTGAGAATCTGTCTCCTGGCACTGCTCCGAAGTTCTGCTGCAGGCCAGCTGCCACGACCAGGACGTCGTACTCCTCTCAGCAATTTTTAGTCAAGTGCCTTTAGACTGATGACCGATGTTGCACATCAGGACGTGGCAAGGATCACGATTTCGCAGCTTCACAGTTTCTCTGGCGCGGTGCAGCTGTGTAGACACACCATAGTTCATCTGAGGTACGATCTGCTGCCCGCTGGCCAACGTCAGCTTGTTTTGCTCCGGCTGGAAGGTCAAGCACTTCTCCTGCGTACAAACCTATTCCAGGATCCGCTCCATTCCCCAAGTAGCATTTCAATTTTTTTAGCCACTTTAGCCAATGAATCAAGCCGTCAGGTTGCAGGCTCTTCAGCAGCGCACGGTATGTGTCTTAGCTTCAGGTTCTTCAGGTTCTCCTTGATCCACTGCACATGATCGGGCATGACCTGGCCCAGGGAAGCTGTCCTTGTGAATCGTGTTCCCTTGACTCCCGCATTTCGGGCTTCTTGCTTTACCACTGACAACCAGGCCCAGGATCTCACGTGTGCCCCCATCGGCTTCCAGCCTGCTCCATGGGGCGTGCAGAGTTGCTGACCTTCCCAGAAATCGGGCGGGGCGTATCAACTTGCGCAGTTCGAAGCCATTAAGCTGTGGTAAGCCCTCCACACGAGCGGAATGCAGCAGGCACTTAAATCTAGCCAAAGGGCATCCAGTCCTAATCCACCGACCATCGTCCAGTAGGGCATGTACAGGTGCTGGTCCTGTCTTCTTGCGGGTCTCTCAGTTTCTTTCGTTCAGGCCGAGGCGGGATGAACAGTGCATCGCTGACAGGATTCCGAACTCTCAAAGGATCTCGACGGGCGGAGGCAGATGCGGGCCCCACTCCGACGAAATGAGTCATGCCGCTGCACTCGGGGTCCCTCGGCTCGATGACTGCAATGTTGCCGTGCTGACCTTCATGGCTGATGTTGTTTGATTTGGGAAACTCGCTCTTACGCTGAGTCTGCAAGAGACAGAGAATTTCGAGTGTGGGCACAATGTAGTGGCATGCCTTATGCTGTGTCATCACTGCTGTGCTTATGGGTGCAGGCCACCACTGAAAAGCAAGGCTTGAAGAAGTTTGAATTATCCAGAGAATCTGAGACAGGGTACTCTTTGGCAACTTCCTGCACAACTGCGAGGCCACCTGCGCGTTGTTGGCTCAAGGGAGACAAGATCCATGGATTCTCTGCCACTTGCAGATTCCCAGCACCAGCTCAGATACATGAACTTCGGACAAAGTCTTCCAGGTCGAGTGGGTGCTGTAAGAACCCTAACTTCCAAAAAGCCCCAGCTCCACATCCTGAGAAGCCATCGTATGGTGGCGTGGATCAAAATCAGCCAGGGCGCGGAAACTCCAGACGAACCTTGTGAAACATCCAGCAGACGAGGAGAGCATTCGCAAGACCCATGGGGGCACGCAGATCAGGTGCCTCCGCCGATGATGGCAATGCGGTACTTCGAAGCCTCGATTGAAAGTCTCTGCGGTGTCTGTTCACTGATGTCCCTCGCCGGTTCCCTCTTCTGTCCTCATAGATCTCCATAGGACTCGTAGGACTCTCTCCGTTCTCCACAGTGTCTCTGAACATCTCTAGCAGCAGTCTCCGATTCTGGCTTCACAGAGCGGAGCAGCGGGCTTCACCGGAACAGCTCGGCAGCCCAATTGCCGGGAGATCGCGCCCAGCATACTGCGGGCAGCAGTGCTTCGCTGCATGACCTCCTCAAGTGCCAGAGGCGTTGACGCGCAAAAGAGGGTCAAGTGTCGTTTGGGCAATGCATCATACAAAAGAGCAAGCTTGCTTGAGGCTGTTCAGAAGGCAAGCTGAACACAGGTCCTGACCAAAAGTGCCGGGATGGGGAGAAGTTAGGGCTTGAGAAGTGCTGGCGCACGAGACAGCAGCGAATCGATCAGCACAATGGCCACGTGTGGAATCGGAAGAACATGCGTCCACTAGAAGATCAACAAAGAGCAAGGCGGGTGAAGCAAACATGGGGGCCTAGGCCCAAAGTTCCAAGGCCCAAAGCCTCCCGCCACTGCTGCCACCGAGTGCCCGGCTGAGAACGAAGGCCCGGCAGCGCACTCCCAAACAATGATGCTCTCATCCTGAAAGATCCCAGCAGCCCGCCGCAAGGACACAGGTTAGACATCGTTCACTTCAGCTGTCTCAAATGGGACTAGATGTGGACTGCTTGATGCCCATAGTAAGTTTCCTCTTTTTCCCGGCTGGCCAAAATGTGACTTGCCCTGGCTCCATGTCGCTGCCTTTGCAGTTCCTCTTCGAAGAAGGCGGCACCATCACATGTGAAAGGACCGCTCCTTCGACGAAGACGCCAGGTAGCGGCCATCATCTGTGACGGCCGCAAACCAAACCTCGTCTCGGTGATGGTCGAGCCTCAGGAACAGTATTGAAACAGCCAGGAACAGCTCTTTTCGGTGAGCTTTGAGCCACTGACGTCTCAAGCCTTTAGAAAAGGTACAGACTCTCTTGCGTTCTTTGACGTCTTGTTCCTGGAGTTCCCAAGTGGCCGCAACTGACCACCTGACTTTGAACAGAAAGCCCAGAAATGCTATCGCGTAGTAACAGGAGCCGCAGTGGGCCAGGGTATACTCTTTCCAAGTCTCCCACCGTGCGACGCAGTGGATGGGCAGAGCTGGCCTCGTCATCACCCCTATCGCTCCGGTCTAAGCTCAGTGCCGGAAGCACGAGTACTGCATACTGCACTGCATCAGGTGAATTGTTTTTATAAAAACAATGCACTGCATCACGCTTCAGCACAGTCTCGCGGACTCTCGGGAGAGCACGTGGTGTATCTGTAGTCTTTCAAAAGGCTGGGTCCGGAAGACCTGGGCACATCGCACATGCTTCCTGGTTGGCTACATGTTGCATTGGCCGCAACCGCTGAACTCTGAGCTTAGCCCGCAGCAGGAGCGTTGGGTCCATATCGGTGGACAAGCAGTGCAACTGCTGGTACCTCGGAACTGTCTGTCATGCCCGCAAGGGACAAGAAGAAAACCAATCAGCACAGCACAAGCTTCCTCTCAGTGCGGGACATAAGGTTGGGATCGAGATCCGTGTAAAGGCAGTGAAGTTGCTGGTACCTTTCCGCGTCGCACTTCTTAGACAAGGACTGCCCAGCAGGGAGCAAAGTAAGTTGAGTGCTGCTTTGCACAACAGAGCTGATACATGAAGCACAGGAGGATTACTCAACACAAGAAGCAGCAAATACATTCGAGACATGTGTGACAAAAGGAGATTGTCTTTGAATGAAATCATGAGTGGTGCACCAAACTGGTGGTAGGGGTTGGATCAATGCAAACCATTCTTTCTGAAGTTGTTTCATCTAGGGACATAGAAAGAAAGACGGGTTCCGGACACCGGCAGGAATCACAGCAACTGAGACACTCGTGCGAGTCTCGTGCGGATGTGCGAGGCATGCCATGCTTTAAGATCAGAATCTTCGATCAAAATAGGTTAATACTGAAAAATACTTTGAGTGCTGAAGCTCAGTGTTCCGTGATTCAAAACGCAAAATTCAGGAGTGGACTCTGGAAGCAAAATCTTTTGATCCGACCAAGGATACTAAAGACGGAAAAGTTCTGAAGGATCCAAGAATACTGAATTCCAGTACTTTCTAGGATTCTTATTGGATTCAGATTTTGGCTTCCAGATTTCTTGGATTTTGGATTCCGGAATGCTGAATTTCAGCATGTTTTGTGCAGAATTCCCGTTGGGCGTAGATCAAGTGTTCATTGTTGCCATGGCTCACGGATGTTGATTTTTTGGAGGAGGGGGGCAAGGAGGGGTAGCGTATACCGTAACCTATATATATACACAAATGTATGTGTGGAGCATGCGTACATGTAGCATACATATGTATATATATATATATAGAGAGAGAGAGATATATACATATATGTATATATATATATACATACATGTATATGACAATACATACATACATACATACATACATACATACATACATACATACATACATACATACATACATACATACATACATACATACATACATACATACATACATATACATACATGTGCTGCACTTGTTGACTTGGTTTGCCCATGTTGAGTCGACCTTGCAAAAGTGCGCCCCCGCAATGGCCTGACCGCCTGCCACAGCAGCGCGCAGAGGCGCCGAGGGGGCAAGGCCAAGTCTGTGGGAAGCTGCGCCACCTCCAAAGAGCCCCCAGGAGCATTTGGGCTCCGATACCACTCCGAAGATGCCCCGCGCAAAGCGTCGGAAAGACCGAGCTCGGCACCAGGCGATCCGCGACGTCGCCGCGCGATGGCGCGGACTCCTGGAGCTCCTCTCAAAAAAAAAGTTTGTGCGTTCATTTTTGGCTTTGAGACGCCTCTGGCTATATGCCCTCCCTTGCAAACATGTGCCAACACCCATATGCTGCTCTCCTGTGGGGACAGGTCCAACTGCTGGGACAAGCCTTCTACACCGTCCTTGGAATTCAACCACACAAAAGCAAGCCTGCCTAACAGCATGCAACAGCTGCAACACCTCAACGACCTTCTATGGCCGGTACCACAGCCGCGTCAGCAATCTCTGTGAAAACCTCCTTTGCAGCCTGTCACAGGTGCGATGGCATAGAGCGCTGATGCATTTCAAACCAAAGCCTCCACTTCACCGCCGCGGTGCAGCTCCAAACACTTCCTGAGCTTTGGCGATGTCGCTTCCAAGAGGTGCGAGCTACTGCGCGCTGCTTGCACGGCTTGCAGACGCTTCCATCTGGTGCAAGCGGCTGCTCAAGCAACGAGAATCGGAGAGCCTCGGGAGTGAAATTGGACAGGCCCACCCGCAGCAACTCTCTGTACCTAGAGCTCTATCAGGTTCTCCTCATAGGTCGTTTTCAGGGGCCCTGGCGGCCGCTTCCGCTCTGCCCAGCGTACCCGCGCTGGGCTGAGCAAGGCGTTGGGCCACCGCTAGTGCCTGAAGACCACAGCACAGCAAAGCAAAGCACAGAAAAGCACAGCACCAGCACGGCACAGCACTCCCCTTCTTCTGTTGGTTTGGGCGGCTGCCACACACAAGGCAAAGTAGATAGCCTCATCCCAGTTGCCTGCAATCGCTGAGCGCCTCGCACACGCGCTAGGCAGCCTAGCTAGCTTCTAGCCTCCAGCGCGTGCCTCTTACTAAGATTGAAGATGGCTGCATCAAGGACCCAAGCAAGGACAAATGTAGTGGATGTCGCAGCTACATAAGCGAAAGACTGGTAGAAATAGTCAGAAATGCAAATTGCTAAGTACGGCTACCCATTCGTGCCAGCAAAATAAGATGCCCCCCCCCAAAGCTTGCCTGAGATCGGTCACGATGTTTGCCTCTGCAGCTATGCCGGACCTAAGCTCCAAAGGGAACCCTCTTAGGTGCTCCACGAAGATCCAGCGAGGCAAAAGTCTCGCAATCTCGGATGCCGGCTCTGTCTCCAAGGCTGCCCGGGTCGCCTCAAGGCCCAGGTCTCCCAGGGCCTGGTCACGGACACAGGCTGACCCCGGAGAGTTTTGG